TCACGCAGAAGCGCACGTGTGTGCACACACCACAGCATACACACCTGCCCTCCAGAGTGAGAAGCAGAAAAGTCAAGTTCAACTCCACGGGCTCAGTCCTAGGAAGTTTCCAGGAGAAGGAAGACTTGAGTGAGCGGAGAGGCAGGATCCCTGTGGGGCTTGACCCCACGCCTGCCCCATGAGTCGCTTATTGTCATCCCCTTTGTACAGAGGCACAGGGACATCAAGCCTGGGGACAGCACTTAACGACTCCTCTTGCTATCATGAATCACCTGGAGATCTGGAGCGGCCATCTTCCCCAAGTCCCTGCGGTGCCCAAGCTTTGCGACAGGGCCCCTCTTGTGGGGAGCAAGACTGTGGGCCTTTCTGGGGTGTGAGAAGAGCCATGTGCCCAGGCATGCATGTGTGGCCTGTCTTCTATGCCCTGCCTGCCCCCTCTGAGGGCCCCTGGGCTGATTTCCTACCTACGGCCTCCTCAGGGCCCAGGGTCCAATAGTGAATGGAGCTGGCTGGACAGCTCCCCTGGGCCTGGAAGCCTCCCGGAGCCGGTGTTGGTGGAGCTTCAGGCCCTGATTGGGGACTCCTAGGTGGACCCTCCAGTAGCCCATCATTCTGCATTTGGACTCCTCAAGGCCGCCCAGGAAGCCTGGCGAGAGCCGCCCAGCTTCACATCTCCTGCTCCACTTCTGGCCAGTCTGCCAGTCGCCCTGGTCTTTGGCCTCTTCCCAGGGCGCCCGTCCGTCCTCTGCCTCCTCTGGCTCTCTGCTCCTCCAGCCCACCCTCCAGGAAGCCCTCCTGATCCTGCTGGCTCAGGACCCCTCTTCCCAGACGCCCGCTCACAGCTCCTTGGGGGCCATAACTGGAGACAGACCTGGACTTCGAGCCCTGTACGGGCTGGAGTGACACCTACCTGGTTCCTGCCTGCTCCCAGCCCAGTGCAGGGACTGCTGTGGGTGCTGAAGAAGTATTTGTGGAGTCAGTGAACCCTGACCGTTCATGTACCTACTCATACGCCTCGTCTCCATGGAACCTCCTGGCCCCTCTTGCTTTGCAGTTGCCCTGATTGACAGGGGAAGATGTCGCTGAGCAGGTGCCAGCAGGGGGCTGAGTCCAGGTGGAACCATCCGCTGGGCCCCACAAGGAACTGAGCTGGAGTCCGGGGTCTTCCTGGCTGGATGGGAGGAAGGGGGTTTGGTTTACAGAGTCCAAACCATGGAAATCGAAGGGGCCCACGGGTACCACCTTACACATATGGACTGTGCCCAGGCACAGGACATTTTGAGATGTAAGAAGAGTGTAGACACCTAAATGGTTGTGCACACACCTATCACACACACACATTAAACACACACTGTGCATGCACTCAGAGGTGTTCAAACCCCAATCCACATACATCTACCTGTCCACACACACCGAGTGACACCTCAGAGCTGCAGACACACAGAGTTTCTGCAGGCATCACACAAGACGCTTGTGCAGAGATCCAGTCACAGGAGTACTGAGAGCCCCTAAACGCCCTCTGACTTGCTCTGTGCCATAAACCCTACAGAGGTAGGCACCCCCAGGCCCTGGGATACTCTGAATCACACACCTGGCTTCCACCATGGCTCAGCCTCTCTTCCACACACAACCACGCACACAGTTCCACACGTAGATACACAGGCAGGGCAGGGCAGACATGCCCAGAGAGCTGCACCAACCCAGACGCAGATGTGTGGCTGCAGCCACTCCAGGCATTGGCTGGTGAGAGTGCTAGGTAAGGCTAGAGCAAGCCTGGAGGACTTCCTGGTGGAGTGAGGCTAGGCAACCATTGCCTAGTTCTGATCTCTGGAGGTCATCCCCCGGAAGCACTTTCTCCCAACTATGAACATGTGAGTCCAAAGAAGTAGCAACCAGTGTGGTGGCACATGTCTGAAACCCCAGTGGCTCAGGAGGCTGAGGCAGAAAGATCACAAGTTCAAAGCCAGCCTCAGCAATTTAGGGAGGTTCTAAGCAACTTAGCAAGACCCTGTCTCAAAAAAAAAAAGGCCCAGTGGTTAAGCACCCTTGAGTTCAAACCCACCCCCAAAATTGTATAAAAAAAAAAAAAAAAAAAAAAGTGCTGTGGATGTGGCTCAGTGGTTAAGCACCCCAGGTTCAATCTTGGTTTAAAAAAACAACAAAACAGCGGAAGGACCTTGGGAGCTAAAAAGTAGGACCAGAGCACAGTGGTGAAGGTGTTTTGGAATTCTTTCCATCTGGACTTAAAATTATATGACAATTGGGCTGGGGATGTGGCTCAAGCGGTAGTGCGCTCGCCTGGCATGCGTGCGGCCCGGGTTCGATCCTCAGCACCACATACCAACAAAGATGTTGTGTCCGCCGAGAACTAAAAAATAAATATTAAAAATTCTCTCTCTTTCTCTCTCTCTCTCCTCTCTTACTCTCTCTTTAAAAAAAATTATATGACAATTAATAATGAGAACAGAGTCAATCAAGAAAACTAACCTTGTACCAGGCACTACGTCAGGTACACTACACTACAGGTCCGCTGTATTCTTGTTTAACCTCCCAATAATAGCAGAAGGAGGGCACAAGCTGTGTGACACTGGACAAGTGATTCAACTTCTCTGAGCCACAGTTCACCCATCTCTACAGTGAGGAAAATAGCACCTAGCTCCCAGCAATTTTTTTTTTTTTTTTTTGGTGTTGCAGGGGATGGAACCCGGTGCCTAAGTAAGTGTGCTAAGCAAGTGCTCTACCACTAAAGGATCTCGCCAGTGACATGTCAAGTGCCTAAAACAGTGCCTTGCAGAAAGTATGATCCACATAGTTATTAATAATCATAATGATATAATCAGATATTATGATTAGTAAGCATAACAGTGATTATTTTTAGTGCTATTAACTGATGAGGAAACTGGGGGCTTGGGACTTGCCCGACCTATAGACTATGTGTCGCAGCGCTCCAGAGCCTGGGTGGGTGGAGGCCGGGCCTCCCTACACTGGGTCACCTACGTGCGCAGTGCTGCGTCCTCTGCCGATTCCATTGCTCTCTTATAAGTTTTCCATTCTCTGCACAAACACCCAGACCCCATCCCACAGCCCCTCCGCAGGTCACCCAGCCCCTGCCCACAAGCCACAGTCTCTCTGTCAGGCCCGCCCTGCTTCCTCCTCACTGGCCGGGGCCTCCCCACCTCCTTCCTCCCTTAACTTTCTCTTCCTGCTCCATGGGGATGCCTGCGGCTGGGTGGTCTCTGGCTTGAGCCACCCTGTCCCTGACTCAGGCCCCATGCCCCCTCACTGACCCTCCTGCAGCTGCGAGCCCCCGCAGCCAGACGGCCACGCGGGGGTGTCCTGGGGGTCACAGCCGGCCACGTGCCTGCGCCCAGGGTGGCTGAATTCTGTCTGTGATTCAGTCCGCTTGTCTAGGCCACCAGGGGTGCCCTGGCCGAGTGATGTCAGCGGCCAGGTATGCGGCCGGGGTTTCTCCGAGGTGACTCAGGCTGGGAGCTGCCCTCTCCTCGGCAGACACTCTGGGCACCTCTCCAGCAGGCTGCTACTGGCAGCCTCGACACTCCCTTCCTGGCCCCCTCCACACCCTCCCAGACCCAGAGCTGTGGGAACTGCAGGGCTGGGCTGGCCTGAGGGGTCTCAGAGGCCAGGACCCAGCAACAGCCCTGGCCAAGCGTGCCCCATCCTCCCCCAGGCCCGGACTGTGGTCCTCCCAGTGGCTACGGATGACATTCATTCATTCATTCAGACCTAACCAGGGGCTGGAGGTGGAGCACAAGGGTAGAGCCCTGGCCTGGTGAATAAATGAGACCCAGGGCTCAATGCAGCACCGGGCAAGGGGACAAACATTTAATCAGCACCCACCCTGCCCCCCTAGAAGAGTCTGCACTTTATGCCTTCATTTTATTGCTATTGGTATTTCCTCCAATTTGCAAGATTCAGACTGGTTTCAGTTCCTCCACCAAACTTTCCAAACAGCTCCAGATTCTTGGTTCCCAAACAGTCCTCAGAAGAAGACCTTTCTGGAGTCTACCTTTCAAACAACCTGCTTCAGCAGGTGCACTTTCTAGTCTCTTTGACCTTCCACATTCCCAGTCCCATTGGCTGATCTGAACCTTTATCCCACCTCCCCAAATTCCACCCTAATCCTTATCTGCCTTCCCCAGCAAGTGCACCCCACAGTGATGATCAGAACTGGGCCTTGTGGGTACTGAGTGCTCACTGCTCACTTACTCTGGGGTCAAGACTTCCAGACACAGCTTCATTTGGTCACTGCTGCCCCTAGAGTTGGTCCATGAACATGCCCATCGTATAGAAGAGAACTGACAGTCAGAATTTGGTACTGGCTAACGGAGAACCACAAAGCTAGTGGCAGGTTCTGGACATATGCATTCAAGGGCACTCAATACTGATGGCAAAGACTGATGGGATCTTGTAGGTGTTTGTTTTGTGCCAAGCACTTTCTAAATACTTTCTGTGTGAATTTACTCCCAACAGTCCACTGGGAGAACCACTCACAGTGCACAGGGGGGTTCACTGGTCATGGACACATGAGACCTTAATTCATAATTAGAAATTGTGATAGATGATGGGGAGGGAACCGGGGGGATTGTGTGCACACAAAAGCGGGCCCCCAACAGTTGCACACAGCGCAGAGACATTTACAGAGTGCCAGAAATGCACAGCATGAGGTAAAACCATAGATATCCTTATACACTCATTGTTTCACAAAAATGCCCACGTGCAAAGACTCACTACAACTGTACACACACACACACACACACCTACACAGCCAGTAGGGCTGCTAATGTCCACACGTCCTGAGACACAAAAGCACATGCAGGAAACTGCTGGCTCAGTGGGGCAGTTACTGTCACTCAGTGGATGCCTCAGGGGCAGCTCTGGTGCGGGACCCCAGATGTAGGTGAGGTCCCCATCCCACATTCACCTACGGTCACATCCATTCACACTGTCACACACCCAACTTCTCTGTGCTGAGATTCGGCCCAGCCCTGGTCACATGAAGCTGTTGGATGGGGCTTGCTGGGGGTGTGTGTTGGGGATGAGTTATTAGGACCTTGTGCTGTGGGCAGCTTCCCCGGACACGGGACGGCATGACTGAGGGCTGACTGCCTGCTGAGAGAGGCTGGGAGAGCAGGCAAGGACCAGCGAGGGGACCGGGAAAGACGGGAGAGAGCGCTCCGGGACAGGTGGGTCCGGTGCATCCGTCTCCATGGATTGGGACCCTAATGGCAATAGTGCTCCCGGAGACTTTGGAGGCTGAGGCCAAAGCGGCAGGCCGGAGAGGTGGTTTGTCCCTCTTTGGGTTGTTATTATTTAGGGGGAACGAGACGGTCACCGCGCGGGAGGCGCTGGACAGACAGACGTGCCGAGGAGGAGGGGGCGCAGACGGACAGACACCCACACGGAGGCGGTCCCGGGGCGGAAGGGCGGAGCGGGTGCAGCAGACGGCGGCTGTCTACAGGGAAACCCTCAATTTGGGGGCCCGGTTCTCCCCCGCTCCCACCACCGCAGCCTCCCCCTCCCGGGCTCGGGTCGGCCCGTCGTCCGCCCCGGCCCGTTCTGGCTGCGAGCGGTGCGGCCGCGCCGGCGGCCGGGGACAAACAACCCTCACGTCGCTAGGCGACGGCGTTCCACAGTCGGTCGCGTCACCGCGTCTGCGCGGGCGAGGGGGGAGCGCGGGGAGACGGCGGCCGCCGGGTGGTTTGTTGACGTTGCCTGGCAACCGCCGCCGCGCTGCCCAGCAACGCCGGCCGACTGTTCGCGTTCTTAAAGGGGCAGGTGCACTTGACTAGTGGCTCTGGGAGACCCAGCTTTTCAGGGAGAGAAGAGGGTTCCTTCCAGGCATTGGGAGGCTGAGTGGATTCGGAGGCTGGTTTAGACACTTCGAGGCAGAGAAAGAACACGAGGCGAGAGCTGTTGTTATTTCAACTAAAGGGTGCGAGGTGTTAGTGTGATACTGATTGCCAGAGTGCACAGATACACGTGTGGGCAGATGTGCATGGGAGTAGGTGGCAGAGATATACGGATAGAGAAAACTGGATTTGAATATCCGCTTTGTGACCTTGACCTGTGACTTCCCATGAGTCTCCTTCCTTCCTGAAGAGGGACTGAAAACATGACACACTTCCAGAATTGTGACTTTATGAAAGTCTGAGGCACTCCATAGTAAGTGCTCTGTACATAATAGGCTTAATTAATTTTGGAATAAATGAAGTGGTTGTTAAGTACTAATGGAGCACTGTGCAATCAATAATGGGGGTGTTGCTTATTAGTGATTTTTTTTTATTATTATTTTCTCCACTTGGTAAAGATGTGCATTATAGGATCCTGGCAGATGCAGTTGAAATCCTTGTCCTGTTAAATCCTGGCTGAGTGACCCCAAGCAAGTACCTTGCCCTCTCTTATTCTCTATTTACTTCTCAATGAAACTGGGGAATCCTTCACATTTCTTAGAGTCACTCAAGGGTAACGTCCTGGGCGGGGGTCCCCTGTCTTTGGGCGTGTCAGGTCAGTGCCCCATGTCTATGGCATGACTCATGGCGCTATGTTATGTAAAACTCCTAGATTCTGCACAGAGGGCAGGTTATATAAATGAATTTAATGTGCATCCTACATAGCAGGCCTAGGGAGGGTACCTGGCTTGAGTAAGCCTGAGATTGCCCAACCACTGACTGCTTCTAGGAAGGAGGGCCTGTGAGGCATGGGACACGTGTATACTGTCTCATTCAAAAGAACGTATACCTATGCTGGGGGGGAGTTCTCTCCAGACCCCTATGTAGTTTTTTGTCTTTCTCAGTCTCTGACTTAATGGGTCTCATCTCTCTGCAGCTTTGTGACTCCTGTCTCTGATGTGTCTCTCACCCTCTCTGTCTCTGTCACTGTTTGCTTCTAACCCCCTGAATCCCATTCTATCCCCCTTCTCTCTTATTTTGTTATTTAACTTTCCACTGATTTGTTCCCAGAGAGAGTCTAAGGAGGAGCTGAGCAGCACAGGTCCCCTTGTGAGTGACTGCTCTGTGATCTTGCGGTGGGCCCTCTATTCTCTGGGCCTCTGCTTTTCCCTATCTGCAAAATTACATGGAGCAATAGTGCAGGTGGGCAGGGGTCCTGATCACCCAAAGGACATTGTAAAAGTGGATTTCTCTGATCCCACATTGACAAGCTGTGGGTGAGAATTTCAAAGAAAGAGGCCAAGGATTGATATGTGAGAGAGATACTTCCGGGGTGATTCTGAGCAGCAAGCTGGAATGGATGACCTGGAGCCTCCACACACTAGTTCCAATGCCAAGTTCTGATGTCACATAATAGGTGAGCCTCTAGGGAGCTACGGGGCCATGGATAAAGTCATTCCCCTGCAGGCAGAGGATCCTGAGTGTGGAGGAGCAAAGAAGATAGAGCTGGGGTTGAGGTGGGATCAGAGACAAAGAGGCAGAGATAGAGTCAAAAGGGAGACAGATAGAGAAGGAGAGAGATAAGGGGGGTAAATTTATAGAGAAAAATTTTGTGTCTTCTGCACACCTCCTGAAAATTCACCCTCAAGAAGAGAGGGCCACATCTCCGTGGGCAGGTGTGACACTGCTTAACAGGTCTCTGCAGGCAACACAGGGGTGTGCCAGGACTAATGCTGTGATTTGGTGTGGGAAGCAGATGCCAGGGTGGGAGGTTCTGGGTGCACCCTCTTGGCATGTGACTGCCTGCCCCTAAGCCAGTGTCCTGGCCCAGCATGGGTAACTACTTGACAACTGAGCACCAGTCAGGCAGCATTCTCCCTGTTGGGTCCAAACAACACCCTGCTGGGTGTGGCCGATGAGGGTACACAGGCAAGTAGAGGGCTGGGATAGCTGAGGGCACTGAGGATGTTATGTCTGGATGTGTGAACTTGGACTTGTCTATCTTTGCAGTCCGACTGAGCCTGGAGTTCTTGGGCAAGCTGAATGACCTCCTTGGGTCTCAGTTTCTGCATCTGTAAAATGGGAAAGGTAATGACTTCTATGGGGATGGTGACTAACATAATGGTAACTGTTGCCATTGTTGGCCAACTCTGCAGCTCCAAGTTCAAACACCTCCTGAATCAGATTCCTACTACGCCCTAGTTCAGGTCACCTCTCACGGGGACCATTGTGGCTGCCTCCTGCCTCCGCCCTGTCCTCAGAAGTCTATTCCCCACATACAGCCAGAGGGATCCTGTTGGAATCCATGTCAGCTCATGCCCCTCTTTTTTTTTTTTTTTTTTAAAGAGAGAGGAGGGAGAGAGAGAGAGAGAGAGAGAGAGAGAGAGAGAGAGAGAGAGAGAGAGAATTTTTAATATTTATTTATTTTTTAGTTCTTGGCGGACACAACATCTTTGTTGGTATGTGGTGCTGAGGATCGAACCCGGGCCGCACGTATGCCAGGCGGGCGCGCTACCGCTTGAGCCACATCCCCAGCCCCTCATGCCCCTCTTTTGTTCCCAGGGTTCCCAACTCAGTAAAAGTCAAAGGCCTCCTCACACCACGCACAGTGGTCCCTTAATCTCTCTGACCTCATCTGCTGTCACAACCCATCCCTTGTTCTCTATGCCACACTTGTTTTCTATGCCTCCTGTTCCTCCAGCCCACCAGACATGTTCCCACCTTAAGGTCTTTGCACTTGCTGTTCCTTCTGATCAGGATGCTCAGCCCAGATATCAGTATGGCCTCTTCTTCACCAGCTTCCGGTCTTTGCTCAAATATCTCACTTAGGCCTTGCCTGACCACCTCATTTACAGTGGCAGCCCTCAACCCTCCCTCTCTGCATCCCCAGCATTTCTTACTATCCAGAATACTATATGATTTGCTTTTTTATAGTTATTTATTGTATATTTGTGTGTAGGTAGTCCCCCTCCCCACTCCCAAAGAGTAAGCGCCCTGAGGGACAGAGATGCTTGTCTTGCCCACTGTACTTGCCAGTGCCTGGCATACAGCAGATGCCGTATCTATTTGAATGAATGAAGAATAGTATGTGCCAGGAGTGGTGCTACCAGCTCTAGGTCTGACAATTCACTAAATCATCACAACAGTCCTATTTGCTAAGTGCTGCGTATTAATGTCCCCAATTTTATAGAAATGAAACTGAGAGGGGAAGTCCCTGGGACAGAGTGCGAAGGCCCTGGAGATCAGAGATAGATTATCCCGTCACCAGGGGCGTCCCTGCGGGTCTGAGGGTGCCTCTCTTTAATCGCACCACCTCTGTTTATTTCTGGGGCCCATCCTTGCTCCATTGTTGATTGTGGTCTCTCCTTATTTCTGTGCCTCTGAACAGCTCCCATTGGCCAAAGTCTCCACGTGCGTACCCAAGTTTTGGGCTCCGGGGTCCTGTCTGTTTTCGAGTTGCTGCCTGGGTGCTGGGGGTCTCTGTGTGCTCCAGGCCTCTGGAGGCGAAGGCCGCGGTAGAGAGTGGGGGAGTCTGTGTTCTGCTAGGCTCCGCTGGAAGTCCCGGGCCGGCGGCCTTACAGTCTGCCCTGCCCCCGCGCGGCCGGGCTCACAGCGCGCAGCCCCGGGGCGGGGCGGGGCCTGTTGCCTGGAGACCGATGTTTTGCCTTTGCAAACTGGGTCTCTGGGCCACCGCCGGGAGAGCTGCATGGGAACCGGCGCCCGTCGTGGGAGCCGGCCGGGAGGGGCGCGGGCAGCCCGGGGCCAAAGAGGGGCCCTGGGGAGCCACGTTGGGGAAGGGGAGGAAAGGGACTGGGGAAGGAGGTATGGGACAAATTTCGGGGACACGAAAGAGGGCTGGGAGGCTCGGATTCGGGGACGAGAAAGATGTTTAGGGGTCAGTTTCAGGAAAGGGGAAGGAGTTTGGTGAAGACCGAAAGATCCCAGGGGGAATATGCGCGGAGCCACGAGAAGGGGTTGGAAGGACAGGGACAGAGTAGTGGAGATAGTTTGAGGGAGCGGAAGAGAGACCCAGGGTGGGTGAGCGAAGGAAGGGTGTGGGAAACTGGAAGTTTAGGGAATCATAAGTGGGGGGGTAGTAAGGGCAAGGAGTTCGGGAGGCATTGAACACCCTGGGGGGGTGCGGGTGTAGAGGACAGATAGGTGCGGGGTCGGGAAAGTATTGTAGGGAGTGCGGGGAGGTCGGTGGAGTTTAGGGGGACAAAGATCCCTGAGAAGGCCGAAACCCGCCGGAAACAGGGGTGAATCAGAGCCGGGAGGCTCGCCACTGCCAGACT